GAAACCGAACGGGAAGCAGAGGAAATGGCGAAATTGAAGCAGAGACTGGTTTCGCAGGTGTGGAAAATTGGAATAATCTTTCATTCGGTGATAATCGGAGTGACGATGGGAATGTCTCAGAACGTTTGTACCATTAGGCCTCTCGTCGCCGCTTTGGCATTTCATCAAATTTTCGAAGGAATGGGTCTTGGTGGTTGCGTCGCTCAGGTCCGTAATCCTTCTTGCTTTTACAAATTAAAATCTCAGACTAGTTATCACCGAATTTTCAGCTAGTTTATTGTCTGCTGGATATAAATTTAATATAGTTGTTATAAAGAAATAATTATAATTTGGGGATTCTTATTAATTTAGGATTTTACATTGTTAGACGTAAAATGATATTAAATAATGAGTTGTTTGAACTTTGGATCGGTTAAGCGAAGAAATTATTCAAAATTGTTAAATAAATAAAGGTGCTATGGTTCTATGTTGAGAGTGACACTTTAGCTCCACCTTTTCTTATTTGCTTTGTGTCTGTATCACTTGCAACGATCTATGGAGCAATTCTGAATAGATTGATCAATTTATTGAAGTTCAGGAAATCAAGGTAATTGTACAGATTAATTAATTTCATCAAGAAATTATTATACGTTAATTGATAATTAGTTGTGTTTGTTAATGAGTTCCTATATATGTGGCTGATATAATAAATTTGGTCCCATTGCGAATCTAATGATAAAGGGAATTTGAAGTTTAGATGTTTAATGCAATGATCAATGAAATCAGAATAATTAAGTGGAGAGCATCTTCAAAGGATCAACCAAGTTCTGTGAACATAAATACCAGATGCATAAGGGTAAAGCCCTTTGCAGATCTTCTCCACTTTCTTGTTCCTTGATTTCTTGTAAATCTGAACAAAGAAAAGGAAAGAAGAAAAAAGAGATGCAGAGAGTAAAGTGAGAAAGTGAAAGGAGCCAACTTAGCAAGTTGATTTCATCTCCTTTTCTTTCTATCTTCAGTCAAAAAACCCTGCGAGTATCCAAAATTGAGGATGAAGATTTGCTTTAAAATTCTAAGCTGGAGAATAGTTATGGGATTTCTTCAAGCCTACGTCAAAGTATCACCTTTTTCCTGTTGAAGAATCTGATAAATATATTCATATTTACAAAATTGTGCAGGCTGGTTTTAGCTTTGGAACGACGGCCTACATGTGCTTTATGTTCTCAGTGACAACACCGATGGGGATTATACTGGGGATGGTGTTATTCTCAGTGACAGGTTATGATGATAGTAGTCCGAAAGCTTTGATCATGGAAGGCTTGTTAGGTTCAATTTCTTCTGGGATTCTGATTTACATGGCTCTGGTTGACCTAATTGCATTAGATTTCTTTCACAGCAAGCTTATGAACTCCAACCTGACGTTGAAGAAGGCTTCTTTTGTTGCCTTGACTCTTGGGTCTGCTGCCATGTCAATTCTAGCTTTATGGGCTTGAACTTAACCCCTCTTTTTGTTTTCTTCTTTTTTTCTCTGATATAGAATTTCTGTGCTGAATAAAACCTAGGGTTTATTAATGTAAGATGTATAGTCACTTGCTTGTCCTCACTGGCCTTTGCTTAGAATGTTGAGTGAGTAATGGAATGAACTGATAAATCATCAATGTTCAGTATGCGTGTGCGCGTGAAATCTTTTGGAAGGCATTAACAATAATGCGACTCATATCGAATTTCATGCAATTTGTGGATTCACATTCAATTGAGGAAAAGCATGTGAATCTATGTAATGGCAAAATTTTAAGCTCAACCTCATGGGAAATGTGTAAAAATTAAGCCATGGGATGCTTATGTATAACACATGCACAAACGGGGACATATATTAAGTTTGTTGACAATATATATTCGTCCATTTCCCGATTTAAGATTTTTCTTCCCCAACTTAGTTTGATCGAAAATATAAATTGAGATTAGTGGTATTTACTATTATTTTGTCTGGTTTGTCGGTTTGTACCATGCAACTGTGCAATAATCATTTCATTATATATATATATATATATTATCTTATACTACTTCCTATCTTTGAGGAGATTAAGAAAATAAGTTAAGTTAGTTATTTGTAATAAATAGGTACTGTTTTTTTTTTAATATCCTTACTAATCAAGTATATTAGCTAAAACTGCCATTATTAGAAGGATTATCTTTAAAAAAAAGATAAATATGAGAGATAAAGTAGATTAGAGTCATATATTTAGGATCAAAATAAAAGTCAAATAAGGTCTTATATTAAGAACCAGAGGTAGTACAATTTAGTTGGGAAAAAATTTATACCAACGCTAGGTTAAAAACTGAAATTTTATCCAAGCGTGACTGAGTTTATAGAATTTTATACAATTTAATTGTTCTTTGTTGATAGAATTTCGATTAAACTCATCTTACAAATTTAATCTTATAAAATGATATTTTATAAAATACCAAGGCTAATATGTTACATCTAACATATAAAATAAAGAATATATTAAATTAATCATGATCTGTCCGAGTTCAACCTGCGTTCGATTTTCAAAACTTCAACACTTTTTAACTTACTTTATTTCCCTCCCACACTCACTTTAAATGAATACATATACATACATACATACATATATATGTGTGTGTATGTGTGTATATATATATATATATATAAAGTTAAAAAGTAAAGGCGCATTAATTGGCAAAGAAGATAGTTAGAAAAAGAAGCACGGCAATAGCAATACAAGTGGAGGGGAAAATAAAAATGTTGTAATGGTAATGCCATTCTTTGGTTAATGCATTTCCAAGTTGTCACAATTATGTGTATCCATGCTTCCGTCTTTTTCTTTTTCAAAATTTCCTTCTTTGTCTTAACCTTCGAGAGTGGTTGAAAGTATATACAGATTCCACTATGTGCCTCCTCCTCAACTTTAAAAGAATGTCATTTGTGGCCATATTTAGAGTTTTTTTTTTTTTGTCTTCTCTTCTTTTTCTTGAAGATGGTTTTGGCATTATCAGTGATGATAATTGATGATACCTCTGTCGTTAAAGTATTCAATTAATCTAGGTCCTAATTAATTTGTAGTTTAAGATCAACCTAGGTCATTATTTCCAAAAAGCAAATTATGGGTTTTTTTAGGTAAAAATTTAGGTGATGAAAAATGTAATAAAATGGACCTAAACTAAAATACAAAATTCTAATTCTAAATACAAAATGCAAATGCCCTAAAAATCTATATGAAAATTAAACTAAACTAAACGAATGCAATACAATTTTTAGGGGATTTTTTTTGAAGAAAAAAATTAAAATGATAAACAAGGAAAATGGACTAAAGAGTAAAGAAAATTAATAAGTAAAAATTGAGAAGTTTCTCTTCAGGTACGGTAGAGGGAACAACTTAGAATCCGCATAGATTTAACTTTCATAACCCTAATCAATTAATTACACCAAAGGAACGTGATAAGAGAGTGAAATTAATAAACTTAATCACATACTTGAACCAAAGGGAACCCTCAACTCAAAAAAACCTTGAACCATTAGAGAACTCATAACGGTGTAAGGTTGGTTAATTAAGTTTATTAAAACTAATGAAAATAACTCAAATTAATTTTGAAAATCATATTTGCAATTATCCAATTAAACAATTAGACAATTAACCAACTTAATTAAACAATTAAGAGGCAAAAGAGCCCAAATTTTGCAATTCAAACTACATTGATAATTAAATCCATAATAAAAACTCAATTATAAATTAAATTAATAATGCAAAGGTTCATAAACATAAATTCCATCAAGTGTCTCAACATAAATATCAATCCAATCCAAGAGTAAAAATGACAATCTAAAACTAAATTGTCTCACAAAAATACAACTTAAAATTATTTAAAACCAAATAATCTTAAGTCTTTGAATTAAAAAGATAAATGGAATATCACTCCCTTATAGTCTTCAAATGTTAGCCCAAGGTTCAAGCCTCCTCCATACTCCTTCCAAGTTGTCTCCCTAACAAGTTTAAGCCTCCATCAACGTATCACCTCCTCCAAACTCCTTAGTGCAGTTCATGGGTATGTGACGCAATGAATAGCGAAAGTGATGCCGGGTGGATAATTGAGAAGTGGCGTGACTGAAGGGATTGGGATAATGAATGGTTTATGAGTAAGAGATGGAGTGGAAGTTGAAGATGAAACCCTAGAGAGAGAACTTTTCTTGATCGAGTCTATGGTTGAGAGAGTGAGCGTTCACGTGAATATGGGATGAAAGAAGATATGATGCAAGCGTGAATCCTTGCTCTCAAATAAGGAAAATATTTTAATGAGAGAAAAGGAAATTTTTGTGGATCCAAAGCTCAAGCCCATTAATAATTAATTGACCTACTTGATATTAGTCATTAGATTATACTTAAATTCCAAGAAACAATCTTACATCATTGGATTTCCTATATGCTCTTTCTTGACTTAGAAGAAATTAAGTGCATCCATTAATGTAGATTATATCCAAATTTAATATAATCTATATCAAAATTAAATATTAGATATGCACAAAAATTAGGCAAGAAATTGCAAAACTTTCTAAAAATAATCTTTCTAAAAATATAAGACTTGTTTCCAAAGAAATAAAAAACTTAATTCCAAGTCAAAATAGGAAATCACAAAATATTTATATTTTTAATCCAAAATCTCAATTTTTTTAATGAAAAATCCAAAAATCAATCAATTAATCCAATTATGCATAAAAACCCATTTAGGCTCAAAATTATCATTTAATTCCTGAATTAATGTGGGATAAAATATATAAAATTTAGGTTTTATCAATTCCTCCACACTTAGCCTTTGCACTCTTGGACAAAGCAAATGAAAACCAAAGAGTAGTAAAAAAACAAAAGAAAATCAAACAAAGGTGAATGTTCCAATCACAAGCAAAAAGCAAATCAAAGCATTCAACGTCTCTCTTATCCAAGTAATCTTTTCATGAATAAAGAAAACAAACATCATGGCAATTTTCTTGACAAGGGGGAATCGAAGTCAGAAATCCCTTACCAAGGTTAATGTGTATATCACTCATCACTCAAAAGTATATTGGTTTATGTTTGCACTTAAAACCATGCTATCCAATCCTCTTTCCATAGGCTTGACAAGAATCTAAATTCTTCACGAATCACAAAGCAATTACAAGCATAAATCAAAAGGACTTTTATTAGGTTGTAATGGGCTAACGTAAAGAAAGAAAGGATATAATGCTTGGGGAAACAAAGTTGAACATCTTAGGAAATGAAGAGAGTCAGTGAAAAAAATATAGTGGAATGCAAGAAACTAAATTAAACTTGAATTAGGTTATTCTTCTCCTTCTTTCTTTGTTTTCTTTTTCAAGCTTTTTTTTTTTAACTTTCTTAGGCCATTATGTACATGCTCTTTTGACGCAAACTTTCATATTGGTGATACAAAGGCCTGGTTACTCAAGCATGGATAACTCATTGGCACTAAGATGCTACTAGCACAGTCATAGCCCTTACTGGTCGTTTGACGCGAAGATCGACATTGGTGATGAAAATCCTTGATTACTAAGCACAGCTTAAACTAGAGGAGTGGAATCTTATTACATATTCTTTTTTTTTTCCTTTTCGTTTTTTTCCTAATTGATCCAAACCATAACTCTAAATATATTCTTCTATCATAAGCACATGTAATATAGTACTCTTCAACTCCTAAGATTCAGAAATGTTAGGATGTCTTTTTTTTTTTTTGGTTATGGCTAAGTGAAAAAAATGAAGGCTCAAAAGGGGTTAAGCAAAGGATAAATGTATGAAAAGGGTAGGCTTTTGGCTTATCTGGCTAGAAAAATTGAAACAAATTTATCATCTTTATGAATGTAAATGCACAAATATGGTCTCAAACAAGATTCAAATCAAGTTCTAGATCAAGGAAAGAGATAGGGGTTATACACACATGAAAAGAAGAAATGCTTTAGGCTCAAAACCTCACTAGGCACATGATTACTAGCTCAAATTCACCTAAGTCAAATCTATTGCCACTTAATTCATCCACTTAAGTCATGATCGATCACTTTTCAAATCAAGAATGCATTATACTTGAATCACTTTAAACTTTTAATCTTCACATTCAAAACAAAACAAAACATTTTTTTTAGTTTTTTTTAAGAGGAAGCCAAAACAAAAGTAAAAACACACCTAAAATAAAAAAATTAAAAGAATAAAATCCTTTCCCCACACTTAAACAATGCATTGTCCTTAATGCATAACACATAGGGCAAATTACAAAAATAACTAGTATCTAGCACAGCCCAACTCAATAATATGACAATGTAAAGCAAAAAGAGTGAAGGGAAGGAATACAACCGGGGCTACGTGGTGTCTCGTAGTGTGATGACCTCTACGTCTTGGGTGGAGAATCCCTCATAGTAAGCCTTCAAGCGATGACCATTGACTGTGAAGCATCTTTTAGTTAGCTCTCTCTTAATCTCTACAGTTCCACAAGGAAAAACATTAGTGACAATGAAAAGTCCCTCCCATCTAAAACGGAGCTTACCAGACATGAGTTTAAGTCTAGAGACATAAAGTAGAACTTTTTGGCCCACGTGAAACTCCCTTCTCAAGATGAGCTTGTCATGGATAGCCTTAGTTCTTTCCTTGTAGATCTGAGTGTTCTCATATGCTTCTCTCCTAAGCTCTTTAGGTTCTTGCAATTGTAACTTTCTTTCAGCACCAGCACTAGCAAGATCAAGGCTGTAGCTTTTGATGGCCCAATATGCCTTATGCTCCACCTCTACCCGAAGATGACAAGCTTTACCAAAGACAATCCAATTTGGAAACATGCCAATGGGGCTTTTATATGTTGTACGATATGTCCAAAGTGCATCATCCAGCCTCTTGCTCTAATCCTTTCTATTAGGTTGCACTGTCTTTTCAAGAATGAGCTTAATTTCTTTGTTCGAGAGTTCCGCTTGACCATTTGTCTGAGGGTGGTATGGAGTAGCCACCTTATGCATCACACCATACTTGCTAAGTAAGCTCTGCATACTTCGGTTGAAAAAATGAGTACCTTGATCACTAATGATAGCTCTTGGAATTCTAAACCTGCAAAAAATGTGAGACCTAGCAAAAGAAACCACTATAGAAAAGTCATTAGTACAAGTGGGAATTGCCTCAACCCACTTAGAGACATAATCCACAGCAAGCAAAATGTAAACATAACCAAATGAAGTAGGAAAAGGTCCCATAAAATCAATACCCCAAACATTAAAAAAACTTCACAGAACAATAGAGGTTATTGAGGCATCTCATGCTTCTTAGAGGTATTGCCAAAAACTTGGCACCTGGAACACTTCTTACAAAACTCGTGGGCATCATGGAATAGAGTGCGCCAAAATAATCCACTTTCTAAAACCTTCCTAGCAGTACGTTTAGCACTAAAGCGCCTTCTACAAGCAAGAGTGTGATAAAATGTCAATATAGATTCAAATTCACTATCAGGAATGCATCGCCTAATAACTTGATCATTGCAAATGTGCCACAAGTAGGGATCATCCCATATATAGAACTTAGTATCACTTTTAAACTTGTTTAATTGATGCTTATTCATATCAGTCTGTAAAACAGATGCAACTAGATAATTAGCAATGTCAGCATACCATAGAACAGTCATATCAACACCACAAAGTCTATTATCAGGAAAATCATCTAAGGGTAAAGAAGATGTTACCACAAGAGCCTCAATCCTACTTAAGTGATTAGCTACCATGTTCTCTACACCGCTCTTATCACAAATCTACACATCAAACTCCTGTATCAGCATTACCCATCTAATCAAGTGGGGTTTGGAGTTCGGCTTCTTGAATAAGCACTTGATAGCTAAATGATCTGTAAAGACAACCACTTTTATATGGAGGATATAAGAACAAAATTTCTCAAGCCCAAACACAATTGCAAACAGTTCTTTCTCTATAGTTATGTAATTAGCCTGGGTGGCATCCAGTGTCTGTGATGCATATGCTATGATATGTTGTCGCTTTTCTATTCTCTAAGCAAGAACTGCACCCAATGCATAATCAGAAGCATCACACAAAAGCTCAAAGAAAAGGCTCCAATTAGGTGGCTGAATGATAAAAGGTGTAGTGATTCGCTTTCTCAACTCATCCCAAGCACACCTGCAAGCATCATCAAAAACAAAGCCCACATATTTCTACAGTAAACGAGATAATGGTAATGCAATTTTACTAAAGTCCTGAATGAACCGCCTGTAAAATCCAGCTTGTCCAAGAAAAGAGCGCACATCTTTCACACAAGAGGGATAATGGAATAGATGAAATAATATTAATTTTGGATTTATCAACCTTAATGCCATCATGTGAAACAACATGTCCTAAAACAATACCTTTCTTAACCATAAAATGGCATTTCTCAAAATTCAGCACAAGATTATATTCAATGAATCTTTCCAAAGCCCTATCCAAACTAGCTAAGCATGCATTAAAAGAGTCACCATGGATAGTGAAATCACCCACAAATACTTCCATGTAATGCTCAAGAAAAATCAGAAAATATGAAAACTATGCAACGCTAAAAAATACCAGGTGCATTACATAAGCCAAACAGCATGCGTCTATATGCAAAGGTTCCAAATGGACATGTGAATGTGGTCTTATCCTGATCTTTAGGTGCAATGAAAATTTGAAAATATCCAGAAAAACCATCCAAAAAGTAATAATGGGATCTACCAGTTAGTCTTTTAAGCATTTGATCTATAAATGGAAGGGGGTAATGATCTTTTCTAGTCACAAAATTCAACTTCATATAATCAATACATACCCTCTAGCTATTCGGGACTCTAATTGGAATAAGCTTCGCTTCATCATTATGAATAACAATAATGCCAGTCTTTTTTGGAACTACTTGAACCCGACTACTCCACTGCCTATCAGAAATAGGATAGATTATGCCTGTAAAAAGTAGTTTAGAAACATCTTTCTTTACCACATCAAAAATCAATGGGTTGAGTTGTCTCTGTGGCTGGCACACAGCTTTGGCATTATCTTCTAACAAAATCCGGTGCATGCACACATTAGGGCTAATTCTAGGAATATCTGCAAGAGTCCATCCAATAGCTTTCATCCTTCTTTTTAGCACCTCAAGAGGCGAATTTTTTTACCAACAATTATGTCGCTAGCTACAATCACAGGCAATGTCTCATCTTTCCCCAAATAGGCATATTTCAACGAATCAGGTAGTGGCTTTAGCTCTAAAGAGGGAGCTTGCTCAGTTGAGGGTATAAGGCACTTTAGATCAATGTTAGTCAAACTAGAAACCTGCACTGAAGACTCACAAGCAGAAGAGTAGACTTTCCCAACTTGGGAATCATTAGCAGGAACAGTAATAACAGAAGAATTAGGTAATAAGCCACAATTCACAAAAGAAGTGTCATCAGTAGCACTCATGTCATAAGCAACATTAGGGTCAAAATCAAAGATTTCTATATCAGGGACATGATCAATATTAGCTAACAGCTCAAAATTAGATAATGAAGATGAATCAGTTACATCTATAGCATCAATCACACTAAGTAACTGAGAGAGTCCATGTGAATCAACAAAAGTACTAGATGAGTGATAAACCTCATTATTTGCATATATTTCTAGTCCTAAACTTATGCTTTTGCCATTTATATTTGCATATTTTGGGTATAATTATCTTTCATTATGCATAAGAGTTAGTGAAGGGAATTGTGAGGTTTTATTTGTGTTTTTATGTGATTTTATTTGTGTGTACTTTTGATTCCTTGTTTAGTGTGAGTTTCAGGGAGTTTCTTCAGCATTCAGCCATTCTGTATAAAGCATCACGACACTTCATTTTAGGTGCCATGGCTGATTTGCAAAAGTACTCTCGATAATAGGCACCGTGGCGGATTATCAAAGGCGTTGCGGTGAATGCAGTTCAACAAAGAACTCAGAATCACTAATTAAGACAATATTGTTTTGGCTAGGCGTCACAGCGGATAACAAAAGGTGCCGCAGTGGACAACAAAAAAGTTTAGATTTAAATACAGAAGTCGCGTGCTCATACGGGGCAGTTCAGATTCAGTCTTTCCACCTCCAGATTACCAGTTTTCTTGTTCTCTCTGCCTTCTCCCAATTCTCTCCTCCATTTTGCCCAAATCCTTCACTTTCTGCTAATTCTTCATGGATCTTCCATTGATTCTTGTTGATTCTGCTACAAATCAAGGATGAGTGGTTGAATTCTCAAGTTCTCCTAGCAATGAACTTAACCTGAGTTCATGGAGCTGAACAGGGAGTCTTTTCAGATCTGATTTCCATTTTCTATTCTAAGATTCATTTGTATCAATTGAACATTTGTGATTAGAATGAGAGTTGTGTGATTAGATTTATGTTTCTTGAAATTTAGATCTGATTGAACATTTAGAAGTGAGTTTGTGTCCTTTGATTCAATTGAACAGAGGATTCTTTGATAATTTGTAGATCTAATTCATTTGCTTGGACTGTTGTTCTATAATTCTGAATTTGATTGAATGATTTTGATGATTTATAGTTGTGGTCATCCTTAGAGAATTGCAATTTTATTTCTCAAGTGTTCTTGTCAATTGATTTTCCTTCTCTACATATCAAGACAATGAATCTAGTAAGATAGTTGTTATTGACTTGTGGATTAGAGAGATTTGAACAGTAGCTGAATCTATCCTTTTAATTGACTCTAAGGGACCCCAAATTATAGGATTGAACAAGGAAGGAAGGACGAATTGCTAGGGGAACTATCATCTCTTATCTGAATCTCTTCTTCATTTTGAACCTTTACTGTTACCTTTGTTTTCAATTTGTTTCTCACTTAGATTTTCCACTCTGAACTCAATCTTTTACCTTGGTAACTTGATAATTAAAGTGAATTGTAAGAATTAAATTCCAACTTGAGGCTCCTTGAGAAAAATGACTTAGGTATTGCCTCACCTGCTGCATTTTCCAAGTATAATTTTGATTACCTAGCGACAGGGTTCATCAATGAGGAATCACTAAAAGTGATAAAGCTATGGACAGGCATAAAAGAATCAAAACTAGAATGTCTAACAATCTCAATGAAATTAGTGAAAACATCTATATCAGCAGTATCTATACCAATGCATGTATCACAACTACCAATTTCAGAACATGAACAAGAGATAGAATTATCTAAGTCGATAATATCACATTATCTACTTATCATACTATCTCTAAAATCTATATCAGCATTATCAGTGATAACATCAATAAAACTAACATCAATCTCAGCACAACTATCAGGTGGATGTCTCATAGAGTCAAGCACATTAAATCTAATGATTTTACCAGCAAATTCCATAGTAAGAGTACCAGCATGCACATCTATCATACCCCTAGCAGTCTTAAGAAATGGTCTACCTAAAATCAAAGATGAATATCCCTTTTGCCTAAATCTAGCATTATCCATATCAAGAACATAGTAGTCTGTAGGAAATATGAGATCTTTTACCTTAACCAAGACATCCTCCAAGGCTCCTTCTGGGACTACACAGCATCTATCAGCAAGGGAAGCAATTAGATTTGTAGGCTTAAGATCCGCACCTTGAAGTTGAGCAAAACTGATTTCGGCATGATATTGATAGATGCTCCTAGATTTGTTAAAGCATATGAAAACTCAATGTGGAAAATGGTGTAAGGTGTGATAAAGCTACCAGGATCCTTGCACTTCATTGGCATTGGTATCTGATAAAGAGAAGAGACAACTGCCCCTAAGTCAACTTTGCCATCATGCTTAAGCCTTCTCTTGGTGGTACACAACTCCTTCAAAAACTTCACATACTTAGGAACTTGTGCAACTAGATCAACTAATGGAACATTGATCACCACTTTTTTGAAGATATCATAAACCTCTTTGAACATCTCAAGTTCTTTTTTTCTCCTTTAAGCCCTAACTGGCCCTATAGGAAAAGGTAAGACTTGCTTGCTCACTTTCTTCCCTTCCTCATCTTTTTCTTGCTTTTCTTGTAATGCCACTTGTGGTTTTGATAAAATAGACTTATTATGCAATTTGGAAGCAGGGGGAGAATCTTTAATGATGGCTTCCTCATCTTTTGAAGCATAAGTAGTGACAGGATCTGTGGAGGTAATTGAATTTCCGCTTCTGAGAAATATAGTATTAACTCCACCAATGTTAGAATTCTGCTGGATGCCAACATTAGGGTTAACTATTACCTGTTATGGTAGTTTCCTCGAGCCTTGACTTTGCATGTTACTAAGTGCATTAGATAACTGCCCAATCTGAGTTTGAAGATTCTGAATTTCTGGGCTATGTTACAAATCCTTTTGCTCAAACTTATCCATCAGGAGTTTCATCATGCCTTCTAACTTCGAACTCTCATCTTGATTTGCCGTAGTTTGCCTAACTTGTTGGAACATTTTACTACTAGAAGAGTTTACACCTTGATTGAACTGTGATTGTTGAGGCTGGCCACTTCCATATCTGATATTTGGATGGTCACGCCATTCAGGGTTGTATGTATTTGAGTAAGGATCATATTTCTAGCCATCTTGAGTCATAGGCTTAGTGTGGTATATTACATTACAAGAGTCAATTCCATCATTTAGGTAAGGGTAAGAGTTAGTGGTATGAGTAGCTAGAGAGCAAATAGGGCAAAGTGGCCCAATTAGAGCTGTAGAGTCAACTTGTGAGATGAAAAGGGGAGAAGATCTCACAGAAGGAGCCATATTCTGGGAGTTT